AACTTGCTGTCGACACCAGACCATCGGGTATCCTTTGACCCTGTGATTTATTACAGGGTCATTTATGGATTAAACCTTGGATACCACCCCTAGAGATCATCAGCTAGCTACAACTCATACTGGATGTTTATGCTCTGTTATGCGTGGGTATTGGGCTCCCCTGCAATATTTAAGCCTATCAGTGTTCTTGAATCCATGAATTTAACCAACAAGAAACTATTTCTCACATCCATTATGCTGATTAACAAGCTGATGATGTCACTGATTACCACTCAGTTTTGTCATCCATGTTGGCAGTTAATGAAGCATCTAATAGTGGTCTGGAGGATTTACAGTAGTTGGGTTTTTTTTTTGTTGTTGTTTGGTGTTATTTTTAGATGGGGTCTCACTCTGTCACCTAAACTGGAGTGCAGTGGTGTGATCTCAGCTCACTGCAGCCTCAAATTCCTGGGCTCAAGTGATTCTCCCACCTCAGCATCCTGATTAGCTGGGACTACAGGTGAAGGCCACCACACCAGGCTGTGTTGCTCGGTCTGGTCTCTAACTTCTGAGCTCATGCAGTCTGCCCACCTCTGCCTCCCAAAGTGCTGGGATTACAGCATGAGCCACTGTGCCCAGCATATGATATAATTTGCAAATTCTGAGCATTCAAGAGGAACTGTCAATTACTACTGTAGCAAATATATATATATATATACATATATACATTTTCATTACACTTTTGACTATTCAAATAATTCACAAGTGTATTAAGAATCCCCTTTCCCATAGCCCGCCAACCCATCTCACTGGGGCTGCAAGACTAAACAATCCTAGCAGCTTGATGTGCATTAGTCTTAACAGGAAGGCTATTGACCATTTAACTGATTGGTTGATTCAATCATTTATTTACGTATTTATTTTTTATCAATCACATGTTTACTCTACATCTACTATGTTCGTCCAGTGTAGAAACAGTGAGAGGTAAAGTTAATAGAAAGTCTGTCTTCTTGCTTTAAAGAACTTAGCTAAGTAGGGAAGATACAGTCAAGATAATTTATATACAAGTATCAGGAAACTCAAAAGTCAGAGCAATTACTTTCAGTGGGAATTAAAACAAATTTACACACATAAAATTGATATTGTAATGATCTCTACAATGATTACAAAGGAGAAAATTCCACATTATTGAAGAGTGTTAATTTGTTTTTTGGCAGAGTGAACAAGATGAACTTGATATTTTTATAGAAGAATATGAACACAGTCTCTTGTTAGCAGAGTTTTGCTTGTATAGAACTCATATAACTTATATGTTTCCCAAAAGTATCTCTGGAAAGGAAATTTTTTCTAGGTGTCTTTTAAGGTTCTTTCCAGTCTTAATATTTTGCATACTACATTGTTAAATAATTTCATATTCAAATTTTCAAAGCTTAGAAGAAATTTCTCATTGGATAATAAGTGTATATTTTTACATGTTAAAATTATGGGTTATTCAGTCTCCAGAAGGCTTTTCAACCTTTGACTCTTGCCTAATGCTTCATATGAGTAAATACTAATTATTTAAATGTATTATTAGTACTTGCATTATAAGTCTTAATCTTGTGTCTTGGAAGTAGGAAAGTAGAATGTGCGGGAAAATAAATGTTAAGAGTTATTTCTTTGGCCTTAGCGTTAGACAAAATTTTTACATGAGCCAAGTTTCTCCTACAGTCTTTGCAATGTCCACTTCTTCATCTCTCCCTTTCCTAGCATTAGAGTTACATGTGTCCTTATACTGCCTTGGCCTGGTTGTGGCTCCACAGTAATCCTACTAGACATTTTCTTCTCTCTTCCCTCAGTATCAAGACTTTTTTCTTTTCTTTTTTTTTCTTTTTTTTTTGAGACAGAATCTCACTCTCTTGCCAGGCTGGAGTGCAGTGGCATGATTTTGGCTTACTGCAACCTCTATCTCCCGGGTTCAAGTGATTCTCCTGCCTCAGCCTCCCGAGTAGCTGGGATTACAGGCATGCACCACCACATCCAGCTAATTCTTGTATTTTAGTAGAGACAGGGTTTCACCACGTTGGCCAGGATAGTCTCAATCTCTTGACCTCATGATACACCTACCTCGGCCTCCCAAAGTGCTGGGATTACAGGCGTGACCCATCGCACCCGGCTAAGACTTTTTCTTAATCTTGGTTATGTCTGTTGAGTAGCTGAAGGTTGTGATTTATCTAATTCACACAGACAGGTGCATAAGTGACCATTTTCTAGCTTTCTTTGATGTGTTTTAATTTTGATATTGTTAATTCAAACAAATTTCTAAATGGTGAAATTTCAGATAACTGACACATAAAAATGTTGGGGCTGTGAGATTCATTTTTGTATTTGATCATTTTGTGAAAACTAACTCAATGAATAGTGTGTAATGAGGTTAGAAGGAAAATAAGACGAGAGGAAGATTTATGACTTTCACAGGGAAATGCTGTGGACTAAATTGTGTCCTGTGTCCCCCAAATTTACTTACTGATGCTCTAACCCTCAATGGGATAATATTTGGAGAGGGTGATCTTTGGGCGATAATTTAGATGAGATCTGGAAGGTAGGGGCTTCATGATGGAATTAGGACCATTATAAAAAGGCCTCAGAGAATTGACTTCCTCTTTGCCTTGTGAAGACAGCAAGGTGGGCTTCTTCAAGCCAGGAAGAGAGCCTTCACCAGAACCCTACCATGCAGGCATCCTGATCTCAGCCTTCAGGCCACCCAGTCTGTGGTATTTTGTTATGGTAGCCCCAGCCGAAGAAGACATACGTTCATCCAACTGGGGTATTTTGGAGGAAGAGCAGCTAAAGGGTGCGTGTTAGTTGGAATTTCTTGGAGTCATTGAAAATAGATGTCCATTAGGTAGTTGTGTATATCCAGCCATACCTCAGCTGGGAGGTATGGACGGGTACAGAGAATTAGGTCTCTTCAGTAATAGATGACTTTATGGGAAGTGATAAAATCACCTTGGGGAATGAGAAGGGAGCTGATGACAACCCCTGAAGAAACCACACTTAAGAGCAAACATGAAAAGAGTCATCCAAGAAGTGGGAGAGTCAGCATGAGGAGAGCAGGTGTTTGTTTACTGACCTCCAGCCAAAAATGGAGTCCAACCAATCTTTCCACAAGTGTTTTCAAAAGTACTTTGCACTCAACTGCTTTGGGTTTACCGATGTCACTGTTGAAACACACTGGCAAATTACTGTGGCAGAGTTTATGAAATGTTTTCAGTAACCAAATAATAAATCATTTACTTAGTTTGCTTTTTGACTCCGTGATTTGATGAAAATGTGCTGTTAACAATATCAGTCTTTCTTAAGTTTTAAAATATCATGATGCATTTCCTAAACTTTATGTTTGTAAAATGCTGCATAGCCTGTTTCATTGTTCAGCAAGAACTGAGGCAAGTGGCTGTTATAAAACTTCTATTGAAAACACTAGGAAGCTGCAAATTGATTGATGATTCAGTAACAGAGCACTGTACCCCAAGTTACATCTCTAGCCCACTGCTTTTCTGATTTTGACACACTCATGCTTCAAGTGGATATTTGTTGTTTAGAAAGGAAAATAAGTGCATAGTAAATATTATTAAGAATATGAATTATTTTTAATATTAAAGATGAAAAAGAGATTACATTTATATTCTACCCTGGGGGATAAAGTGAGCCTCGGAGATAAGTCAGTTCGAGTCAACCATAAAAGATACCTGAGGAGGTAGGGAATCGGTAAGGATGTGACCGGTTTGAGGCTCCGTTGGATTCAGTTATCAGGGATTATGGCAAAGAGTGTAAGTTGGTAGGTTTGTGGTTTAGAACTAGACCTTAAAATGTGTCCAAACAACTAGCTTGAATTCAAGAAAATATTAACATTTTTATTCTGCATCTTTTTCTCTTAGATAGGACTCTGTTTTTGAAAAGAGTTACAGTTTTTACCTTAGACTCTCCAAATTTAGCTATAGCTGGCTTTATGGCATTTTATCTGTAAATAAATCTTTCTCAGGTGAGTTTTAATTTTGGAGGGCACTAATGTTAATTTCACCTTGCATTATATTTATTCATCTGTCTACATTGTCTGTTGGATTGGGAGCTCTCTAATAGTGGGACTATATCTTGTGCATTTTGCATCTCCAGTGGGAAGATCATTAGCTATTTGTTAATCATTAAGTAATCAACAGTGCAATTTGGCTATCACCTGACTGGCAGGTTCTAGTCCCCCAGGCCGCTTACATAACTTTTGCTTCAAAGTTTGCATTATACCATTGAGACCATGTTATGGTCCATGTTAGCTTCTCCTTCAAAATCCCAATGAAGCCGTAAAGTAGGCAAACTATTTGAAGGAGGAGGAAGGGTGAGAGTAAGAAGCACCCTCTAAGCAGTAGATGAGTCAAATCAAAGTACACGTTTCACACTTCATTGTGGGTTACTTAGGTCTACACACGTCAGCATCTAAGGAAACCACATTTCACTTGATGAATATCCTTTTGGTTTGTGTGTCTTCATGGCAAGGTGCTGGTCTCAGGTGGAAACCTGGGGGGAGTAAAATCATCATTTGTAGGTCGAAGCCTGAAGCTCTGTACTAAAGACTGTTTTCTAGAAGATTTCAAACTGACCCCAGAACTTAGGTTAATTATTACCTCTAATATGGAAACTGCCTTCTCTGAAGAGTTGTTCTTTGTCATTATTTTAAAATCTAAGAATTGAAATTTGAAGAGTGCATAAGGTATGGGTATATGTTTTCTTGAATTATGAAATGGATAGAGTTGGTGCTATAGAAGAACATTGTAACCTGATTGTTTCTGAACATTAAGTGAATCATGTCGGATATTGGAAGGTAGTAAATCGAAAGTTCTAGACAGATCTCAAAGAGCGGGACATGCACAATTTATTTAAAAGCATATAACTTCCTGTTTCCATTTTGCATAAATGTGATTTTTGTTTTGCTTAAGCTGTATTTAGTCCATGTAAAGTTCTAACTAATCTTTAATCCACTTGGGTTCTAGGTGTTAAAAATAGACCAACAGGGCATGATGTTTTAGATGGCTCATGTGAAGGCTTTAAGGACCTCATCCAACCTCATGGGGAATCGAAGAACAGCGGGAGAGGCACAGAGGTCAGTGTGTGAAAATATTATTTTAAACTTTCAGATGCTGATACATCATAATGTTCTTCTTTGGGTCAATGAAACACAAACTAGTCTATCTGACTTGTCTTTTATTTTTAAAAATTGATTATGGGTAAATGCTGGAGAACTCTGAATATGAAACTGAGAGTGTTGGTTTCACTCCAAAGAATTACTATTGATAGACCAAGCTTTCTCATATGACTCTGCTAATGCATTTCTTGTAAAAATGCCTGTTGCTTCCCTTGAGCAGAGACTGTTGGTTGTACCAGTATTTCTTGCCATTTTATAATCTGAATAAATATTTACTAGGTAGGAGGTGAAAAAATCCAAACATTCATTCACTTGTAAACTAACCAAGGTTTCACCTCAAGCCATCAGAGTGAAAGGTTTATATGCTAACACTCAGGCACACCCATTCCTTTGTGGTTTTGGCTTTAAAATGTTGCTCTTTCTCTAAAAAACTTTTCTTATCTTCTTGCATGAGTATATGAGGAGGATTTTAAATTTTTTGATTATTCAATATCTACTTGCATTGCTTAAATTTAAAATTAGCCATTCTATATAACCTTGTGCCTGGTTTTTATGAGGCCAAGGAAGTACAATGTAGTGAAACCTCAATTCAAAATGGTAGGGAAAAACCCTGCCAATTAACGAGCAGCACATGAAGAGAATGACAGAGTAGATGGGTCTGTAAGGGGCTTCTAGGTCCTGATACTCAGGCTGGAACAGAGGAGCAGCTGCATGTGACCTGTGGAGGAGAAACCTGACTCCTTTGCTGCTTACCTTGGCAATGGTTAAAAGACGTTTAAAATTACACAGATTTCATGAAAGTTGGCAGTAACTTGTAGAAACGTAGATTTCTTTACTGGTGCTTTCTGGTTTGTCTCAGAAAAAAAGTGGAGCAAAAAAATGGAAAGGAATCCTATTTCAGGCACAGCAACAGATGTGTAGAGAGATTGTCAGGTCCTGTAACATATCTGTAACTTGGAAACACCAAGGCACCTGCTCTGCAATAGCGTTACCCGTCCTGGCTCCACTGCAGCCTGTGGGACCTGCCCAGCATGCTGTCCGGGGCGGGGCCCTTCCTAGAACGCTGGGGGCAATGTGGCTTAGTTTGTATTTTGCGTCTCTGTTTCTCAGTCTTTTTCCTAAGTGCTCTGTGGCCACTTGACCCAGTTCCTTTGGAAAGAAATAAAGAACCAGTTTCCTCTGCATCTAGTATTGTTCCCATGCCTCTCCTGCCGATGCATCCCACGGCAGGTGGTCCACAGCTCTGCTTTGTGCCCTTCCACTTCACTGACACTTTACTCATTGTCTGCCCTCTGCTGATGTCTGCCCAGGGAAGCGGTGGTACCTCTCATCTCTATTGCCACTGTACTTGGTACCATGTCTGGCAATTTTTTTAAAAAGTGCTCAGTAAATGTTGGTTGTTGAGTTGCTTGTTACTCACCATAAAAATGCTCTGTCCTGTCTGATCAAAAGGCATGACATTTGACTTTCTCATTTGCCCTCTATGGAAGTTACTATTTCAGATGTGTGGTGTTGCCGCCCAGTGCTGGGATAGCCCTGGACTGGATGGGCTGGGTCTGTGGAAGCACTGGGTTAGGGACAGGCGTCCTGGGCAGGAGTGTGGCCTCTTCTTCCTTATGAGGCATCTCACTATAAGTGGTGTATGAATGGGAGCTGAGTACCTGTTTGACCTTCTGGCATTCTTCTGTAGATCAAATCGTAAGTGCTCCATGAATACAAGGCGGTATTGTTGTCTTGAGTAATGATAAAAGAATGAGTGGCGGGAGCGGGGTTCTACCAGGTTGCCTAAGAAGGGGTGAACAGGCCCAGGTCGGAAACGGAGCAGGTCAGAACTCCTGTGCTCATCAGTAGTGGGATCGCGCCTGTGCATAGCCACTGCACTCCAGCCTGGGCAACACAGCGAGACTTCGTCTCTTAAAAAAAAAAAAAAAATAGAATGAGTGGTTAGAGAGGAGGGCAAAATGCAAAATCATAAATCCACACCTCCATATCTGCTTTCAGCTGCTGTGGTCAGGAACAAAATTATTCTCATAAACTGAACTGCCTAACTTGTTCAAATTTAAGTCTTCTTTTAAAAATATCTGGCCGGGCGCGGTGGGTCACGCCTGTAATCCTAGCACTTTGGGAGGCCGAGGCGGGTGGATCACGAGGTCAAGAGATCGAGATCATCCTGGTCAACATGGTGAAACCCCGTCTCTACTAAAAATACAAAAAACTAGCTGGGCATGGTGGCGCGTGCCTGTAATCCCAGCTACTCAGGAGGCTGAGGCAGGAGAATTGCCTGAACCCAGGAGGCGGAGGTTGCGGTGAGCCGAGATCGCGCCATTGCACTCCAGCCTGGGTAACAAGAGCGAAACTCTGTCTCAAAAAAAAAAACTTAAGCATATTAGTAAACTTTGCCCTCGTAATTTAGAATGTTAGTTCTGAAAGGGATCTGCCACTTCTGGTTCTGCATGAAGAAGAATCACTCAAAGCAGGCTTTAAATGCAGATTTTCTGGGCCGGGCACAGTGGCTCATGCCTGTAATTCCAGCACTTTGGGAGGCCAAGGTGGATGGATCACTTGAGGTCAGGGGTTTGAGACCAGCCTGGCCAACATGGCGAAAACCTGTCTCTATAAAAAAATAACAAAAATTGGCCAGGCCTGGTGGTGGGCGCCTGTAAATCCCAGCTGCTTGGGAGGCTGAGGTGGGGGAATCACCTGAACGCTGGAGGCGGAGGTTTGCAGTGAGCTGAAATCACGCCATTGCACTCCAGCCTGGGACACAGAGTGAGACTCTGTCTCAAAAATAAATAATAAATAAATAAGTAAGTGCAGATTCTCTGGTCCCACATGAGACCCTCCGGGCCAGCAGCTCCCTAGCCCCGTACAGTGCCCATCCTTAATACGGAGGGAACGAACATCCAGAGGGGCCGAAGAATCCACCTTCCGTCTCACGTCTTGCCAATAGCAGAAGGAACAAGACCAGGGTTTCCCTCTCTCACAGGATTTTCTTCTTAATCCATTTGTCATTCCAGTTCACTACATAGCCTTTTCTTGAAGGAATCCGAAACTCCTCATGCCCTAGGGCAGTGCTTCCTGACTGGGCTGCGCATGGGATTCACCTGGAGGTCTGCGACGTATGTGGCCGCTTGGCCCCAATCCCAGACATGCTCGTGTCATTAATACAGGGTGTGCCCTGGCCACCAGGATTTTTTTTAACTCCTGAGGTGATTCTAATGCAGAGCAAAGTTTGAAAACTACTGCCTTAGGGACTTTAGTGGAATTTAAACAAGTAATTTATCCTAAGAGAAGTTTTGTTTGTTTCTAAACACTTCTCACATAAACTTGTTTTATTTTTAGACTCTAAAATTAAAGACAAAGGCTTAAAGTCCTGATTTGTTTGCCTAAAGGTTGAGTGATTGTTTTAGGAGTGCAAATTTAGATAGCAATATAGATGAAGTACCATGATTTATTATTTTACAGTTTAGAAGGAAGAATGATATAACTTTTTAAAAAGGCAACATTATTTTATTTTATTTTATTTTATTTGTTTATTTTTTTTGATATGGGGTATCACTCTGTCGCCCAGTGTACTAGGGTGCTCTTGGCTCATTGCAACTTCCACCTCCTGAATTTAAGTGATTCTTCTGCATCAACCTCCTGAGTAACTGGGACCACAGGCACCTACCACCATGCCTGGCTAATTTTTAATTTTTTTTTTGTAGAGATAGGGTTTCACCATGTTGACCAGGCTGATCTTGAACTCCTGACCTCAAGTGATGCACCCTCCTTAGCCTCCCAAAGTGCTAGAATTCCAGGCATGAGCCACAGGACCTGGCCAGCAACATTACGTTTTAAATATACAACTTTGAAGTAGTTTGAGATCTTTTGATATAAGCATGGGAGAGAATTTTATGTTGATATGTTGTAATGAGTCTACAGAAACACTAACATTTAGTTTCCTGGTTTTAAAAGTATGCAGTGGAATTGTGGAAGGATTGAATTGGTGAATAAAAATTAGAAGTTTCTGACTTGCAGCTTACAAATATGATGTGAATATCTCAATCATTCTCTTTTTTTTCCCATTAAAGAGATTTTACCTGTTTATTTTGTTCCTTGTTAGATTTCAAGATAATCTGTAAAATAATCTGTGTTAAACTGAAATTTGGAACTTAACATGACCGTATCTTTTTTTTTTTTTTTTTTTTTCCTCTGAGACGGAGTCTGAATCTGTCACCCAGGCTAGAGTGCAGTGATGCAATCTCAGCTCACTGCAACCTCTGCCTCTCGAGTTCAAGCGATTCTCCTGCCTCGGCCTCCCAAGTAGCTAGGACTACAGGCGCATACCACATATTTTTTTGTATAAGGATATATGAAAGTATCATATCTGATTAAGCACAAAATTGTTTCTATTTCCTAAAAAAAAAAATCTTGTAATTGAATATTAATGTTGAAAAAAGGAAAGTTTACAGGAAATGTCTTTCATCAGCTAATGACTGAAGCCAGTGCCTCTACTGGAATGAAGAAGGGTAAGGTCTGGAATATAGGCCTGACATTTTCATATTTTCACTTGAGAGCTAGCCTTCATGTATTTCTGAGGTTAGGAAAATGATGTGACACTGAGACGTGTCTCGTGGCCCTAATGGCTTCATTTGCTTTTGAACTTTAAGTTTGAAGTAGCACTTGAAGGTAATGTCCTATCTGGGTAGCCCTGCAGATGGAACTGTCAATCGACGAGAGCTGTCAATCCCGAGTCCCAAGTAATGGGAAGGTACAGGGTAGACGGTATAAAGGTGAGAAAGGTGGTCAAACCTGGAGCCTGCGCAAAGAGCAGCACAGCCTTGGTGTGGCCCAGAGGCAGATGCGGAACCTGCTGGAAGAGAGAGGCTGACGTCGGCCGTGGCAACAGGCTCTGGGCTTAGACAATTCTCATCTTTGTGATTGTCATACCAGAGTATTGTGTTTGTTCTTCGTCT